AATTACTTTATTACTTTGTATGTATCACTGAATTCCTGAAATAGTTGTTTGGGTGCATAATATGCACTTTTAGGATACAATAATGGATTCATTCAGAACTTTCTGGAATTCATCTACTATCTAATAGACACATCCATGGTGTACGAGAGTGAAATAATATTTTAATGTCATTCTCACTTGTAATTTTATCCCTTGAAAAATGTGATAATGAAAGCTCAGATGTTGGGGACAGCATCGTAACGTAGAAAAGAGTGCAAGGGACCTTCTTCATATACTCTTAGCCCCGGCACTTCCTAGACAGATGAACATGGGAACTTAAACGCATACGAGGAGTTTCATAGGATTTGGCAGTATGCTGAAACAATCGCTGTAATATGAACTTTCTCACCTGTTGTGTCTGCTTCTCCTCTCTCACCCATTGAGTAAAACTCCTTCACAGGCAGGGTCTCCCTGGAGAAAGCCCAGAGTGCATAGAGGTAAGTTCACGACCCTCTCTCCTTCCATTAAGAGCACTCTGGGTGTGCCAGTGAATTCCGTCTCATACTCACCACTCCAACTTCTGTTTTGAGTGGTGTGGATATAGAAGACAAAGGTTAGTTTTAGAAATTCTAATAATGGAATCTGTTTCTCTTGAGCAGTTAGTAAATGTCAAAACCTCCTTCCCCCACACCACCCAAAAATCTAGAAGCTAAATCTTATACAACTACTTAACAAAACATTTTTTCCTTGAGTCTTTTAAACTGAGTATACGCTATTATGTTTCTGGACATCAAATTCTGTTTATAAACTTTCTAAGATTTGGATATATTGACTGGAGATATTAACTGCTGTGAGCTTCCAGTGTTTTCTCAGTTTTATCTGTTAGATAGACTAGATCAGTATCTTGGGACTCTTTCACAGCTTATGAACATTTTCCTGTATTTTTTTAGCTTTTTTTCTGAATCACATTTGCTAATATTCTAAAAAATTGTTTAGCTTTATCTCTAGTTCATCTTTTTAACTGGCTACACAATATCTCACTGAAGATGAGATGGGTTGAAGTGGAAATTTTACGATTCACATAAAATTGTTTGCAAGTATCACTGGCAATGTATTACAGTATCTTTGCTCATGCTACTCTTGCTTTTGGTCAAGATTATTACATCTCTGGGGACAAATTGAAATGGTATGCTTCAGGCTTTACTTTTTGATCTAGTGATTTCTTTTTTTTTTTTGGTTTACCCATATATTATGAGAAACTAATGGTCAACACAGAGTTTAGCTTATTTTTTAATTTGATAACAAATAAGTCATTGTTATCAGGCTCTAATATTCTTTGTGCCTCAGGTACTTACCGAAACTTAGAAAAGATTTTTTTCTAATTTTCCTAAAAAATTAATATATATTAAATGTATCAAATCTAAAAGTGATTGGCCAGAACAGTAACAGATTATATAAGTAATGTTTGCTTGCTTTCATTTTTGGCTCAAATGAGACGAAAAGTATGGAAAGTGACTGAATTGGACCCTTAGTTGAATTTCAAAGATGATGAACATTTTATGCAATATAGATTGTGCCCTCTCCATCAGATGAAAAGAGGTTATTTTGATTCTAATTTTGCTTCAGTAATCACCCCTGTATTTTTGTTCTTTTGAGAAAATTTTAAGAAATCTAGCTGTTGTCAAATTTACTTTTCTTTTTTTTTCCTGTTCTCAAGTTTGAAAACTATGCAGGCGTCGGCCAGTATGTAGAATGTAATATGTGTATGTTGTCTGCTTAGAGGATTGAGTCATCTCTACTAAAAAATAGGAAGATGGTACATAAATCTATAATGAGAGAGTTTCAGAAGACTGCTTTTTTTTTTCCAATCCATGAAAAATCTTACTTCATGAACTAGACGTTAATGTGGTACAGAGCACATAATTGGAATTCACGTAAAAGTTTGCATGTAAAATGTTTTTTAAAAGTTGGCACTGAAAACACTCAGGATATTTTTAAGGTACTGACCTTCTAATTAAACATTTATTTTGTAACAAATTATTTATTTTGTAGCAAAACATATAATAATAGATACTAACATTTTATATTGTACTGATCAGTTTCCTATACCAGTTAAAAATGTTTTTGTTATATTAAATTTGCTACCTTCTATAGAGTTATCTTTACATACTTGTATAGAAGTTTTCTCCTTTCAGGTCTAATTATTGCTATACAGTAGCTATGTCACACTAGTATATAATTAATTGTCAACAAAAAAACCATTTCTTTGGTTGTATTTATGCAGACAAAATATTTGTTCCCAGAGAAAAGTTTTTTTAGTGTGATGCCCTTTTAAAAATGAAGCAAGCCCTCTGTTGTGTGGCTGGGATATTTCCTTTTTAACATATATGAGCATTTAAATGTATTATTTATTTTAGTTTATTTTAAATGTATTCTTTGTGAATGTCATAGAAGATAGGTAACAAAGGCCGGGCTCCGTGGCTCACGCCTGAAATCCTAGCACTCTGGGAGGCCGAG